GTGGGTGGATGGATGGATGGGGAATGGGTGGGTAGATAGATGGAGGGGTGGGTGGTGGATGGGAGGTGGATGGATGTGTGGGTTGGTGGACGGGTGAGTGGATGTGGGAGGTAGGCAGGTGGATGGATGGATGGGAGTTGGGTGTGTGTGGGGTAGAAGAAAGGTGGATGTCTGGGTGGGTAGATGGATGGATGGGTGGATAGATGGAGGGGTGGGTGGATGGATGGGAGGTGGATGGGTGGGTGGATGGGTGGATGGGGGTGGAGGTGGATGGATGAAGGATAGATGGATGGGAGGATGGATAGAGGGATGAGTAGGTGGGTGGATGAATGGGTAGAAGAGAGTGGGTGGGTGGTTGGGTGGGAGGATGGATGTGCGGGTGGGTGGAAGGGAGGTAGATGGATGCATGGGTGGGAGGATGAATGGGTAGATGGGGAGTGAGTGAGTGAGTGGGTGGATAGGTGGATAGGGGGATGGAGCCTGTAGGAGCTTCCTCCCTAGAGGCCATAGTACCACCAAAGGAAGCATCTGCATCACTCTGCTAACACTGTACTAAAAGGGGACCACCGTTGTGCTCGCCAACCCTTTTATCTATCCGTGTGAGTCTCCTTTGTCGCCACATGCCCTGATTTGCCCTAGTGCCCCTCTGTCCTCACTCACTTCCACTGGACCTGCATGATCAGCAGACTTTGCTATAGACCTCACTGTCCTCCTCCACCCTTCCTGCCTTAACTGAAACCTCGCGTTCTGAGGACACCACTGCTCCTGGGGTGGTTATTACTCTCCACCGCACACGCCTGACATCAGAGAACTCCTCGTGGCCACCTCCCCTTCTCGGAGGGTACCACCCACTCCCCACTAAAGCTGTCATCAGCTGTTGTCTTGGTCACTTCCCCTTATTCTCTGTTCCTGGCTCGCCAGCCCCCTGCACCTTAACTCAGGCCATTCTCCATGACTTCGACATCCACACAGATGACTCACCAGTGCCCTGGCCTTTGCAGGCCCCATCTCCACTCTCTTCCCCCCAACTCCCCCGGGGCCCTCATTTCCCGGGCACACCCTGGACCTGGACCTCGACGGAAGCTGTGCCATCACCAAGTGCGCGTCTTCCTGAGCTTCTCTCCTGCTTTCTCTGCCTCCTCTTAGGTGCCCTTGTCCTATCTCTGCTGAGTCCTTCAGCTGCATCAAAACTCCCAGGGACCCCTCTCATTGCCACCCCTTCCTGGCCTCACCCTTGTCGTGGCACAGAGTGGCCCATGGTCCATTATTTTGATTGGTCCCTTGCCTCTTGCCCTCCATGCCAACCGTGCAGCACACTGCACCCCTCAGTGGCTCAGTACTGTGGCCCTCCCTTTCTTTCCCTGCTGGCGGCCCTTAAACAGGCCCCGGGGCTGCAGTTAAGGCCTCCTTTCCTCCCATCACCCTTCCAGCATTAATGAAGTGAAACCACATCACATGGAGACATCTCATCTTCCCACATCCAAACCCTGCACTGCGCTCCCTGGGCCCTAAACCCCCCTGACATTCCCACTCCCAAGGTCAAGCCTTCCATCACTCTGAGGATCCCAGCCCCTGAACCTGACTCCTGCAGCTAATTTCTTTCTCTTCTGATCGTCAATATTTCTCTGTGGAATCATCTCCTGTCTTAAAAACAAAGACAAAACCCCTATTCCTTGACCCTGAATTCTCTTCCAGCCACTGCCCTCTTTCCCAGTCTCCTTCAAAGCAAAGGCTCTGTTCACTCTTCCCCTCCTCTCATATTTGCTTGTCCTCCCACTGGGGTGCAGCCTCTCCCCTGCTTCATGGCCTCCCGTGACCTCCAGGCTGCAGGATGCATGGATGCTCGTGGGCTGTCCCTTCTCTGCTGCCTCCTGTGAACTCACTCTCTCTTAGTCCTCCTCCCGCTCTGCCCAGCACCAAATGCTGTGCTCCCAGTTCTCTGTTCTCCATCGGTCGCTCTCTTAAGTGTCCAGATACCTCCCAAATCTCTATGCCCTGCCCAGACCCCTTATCTCAACTCCAGCTTAAAGGATCCAGCTGCCACTGCACTTGGCCACCCCACAGACACCCGAGTTCCACATTGAGTTCCAGACTCACACCCTCTCCATTCCTGCCAAAGTCTCTTCCTTGACAGCCTCCATCTCCCCAGATGGGAGCGGCTATGGGTGCCTGCTCCTCCCGCCCCAGCCCAGCTGTCCACCACCAAAGCATCTCAGAGTCAGCTCCTGCTCTCCTGCTGGGGCTGGGGCCTGCC